GAATAGAATATTTGGAACCAGCGACCTAAATGCACGCCAACAATATTAAAGTTGTTCTTTTCATCTTTTGACTATAGGCCAGTGCAATTATCAAGAAAACAATTAAAATTTTATTGAGAACAGATAACTTTGAGATTAGCGATAAGCTAAAGGGCTGCGAGAAATGATATTTGACTTTATCTTTTTCGTTAACGCATTCATTCAGTGATCGGACTTCTACCACATTGTGGTAGGTCTGCCACTTTTTTGAGCATCTACCACACAAGGTCTGAAATCTACCACATATTCGCGTTTTTGAGTAGTTTTATTTTTGCTCGACATAATTTTCTTAATTTTAAGAGCAAAAATTGTCCAACACTAAACACTAACAACAAGCAGAATAGGAGGATAAAATAAACCGTAAAATAGTAAATTTTCTAAGTATTCAATTTTTTGACATGGTTTTATCGTGTTAAATTGCAAAATATATGATTTATAAAAAAGAATCAATAGCGAAAATGTTAAAAAAAACCGCGATTTTAAAGAAAGTATTAAAAAATTTCTATTTCTTTCATCTAAAGTTCCTAAAGCGTTGTATACTTTTACTTGATAATTGTCAAAATCGGCAAATCCCAAGTAGCGGTTTCTGGAACGTGCCACATTTGTTCGCTACATCGTGATGTGATAAAAAGATAAGCTGTCAGCACTCCGCAAGGTTGCAGAAATCTTTCAAAATATGTTCGAAAAATATCTTGATATGGAAGGTACTGCTTTACACTGTCAGGGAAAAAAATTGCCAAAACTCAACGGAATTTTTAGCAACTTCAATCTTGCACTTTGTTATACTAAAATTATTTTTTTTTTAGATTCTACTTAAAATGTTTGCAATTTAGGTGAAACCTTGCAGAATATTTTTAATTTTTTGCAAAAAGTTTCATCCAAAACCTGAGATCTACCATATTTTTCTGAAATCTACCACATTTTTTTCCATATTCTATCACACAAATTTTTTTCAAGTCCAATCACTGGATTCATTATCTAATAATATGCACCAAATCTTTTTGCTGAACCCAGAATTTTTAACAAGAATTGGTCTTATTCGAATAGTGTGCTGTGGGTCACTTGGCGGTCGATGCGCGGGCTCTTGCAACTAAAATAAAATACTAATATTTTGCAGGCTTGTTGTTGACTTCATGATACAATATATTTTCACTATTACCAAGGGATTTGAGAAAAATTAGCTTTTCGACCCGCCCTAATATACTACTTTTTCATGCTAAGTATAAATAAATTCTCCAAAGGGCTAAAAAAGGGCTAGGGGCAATTTTAAATTTATGTGGCCAAAAAAAGTATGTGGTAGCTAAATCTAGCCACCAAAGGGCTAAAACAGCAACACTGAAGAGGAACTCATTGACGTCGTTGCGAGCAAGGCACTCATTTGCAGCAGCAGACGAGCGAGGCGAGTAAATGAGCGAGGCAAATGAGGCAAGATTAGACCGGCAAACGGATTGTATGGTCAGAAAAAAGAAAAAGGTGGGCACGACCAAAACAAGCGTGAGCTAAAAGTGAGAATGTGTTAGTGTGTCCCATTCATTTTCATACTGTCGCGCTCTCATCGTTAGGCCCTGTCTCCACATGAAAACACTGATGTCGTGATAACCATGTCACAAAATATATTTCCAATGGAGACCGCCTATTTCTCATGGGCTGCAATATATATCAGCGCTTATCGATGAAATTTTGGTATTAAATCAAAAAAAAAACTGTTACCTATTGGATTATTTATGATTACGTTTTAGGAAATTATTCAGCAAGTTTTTTAAAGACCTAGATGTGCCATGACCGTCAGGATTACCGATCTCTTCTCCTTTTAAATAAAATACGAATTGTCTGTTTACTCTAGTACTTTAGAATGTATATAATATTATTTATTAAAATGACTTTATAATTAATCGGAATATGTTCAATGACAATCACGACTCGCAGACGATGTTGACTCGACAGGATCACACGAACGACCCTCTATTTTCTCGCTCGTCTCTTGCGTTGCCTCATACTCAGGCAGGGCTGCCATGTCGGCTGACAATTCGGCCTTTCCTGACACCAAATCGTCCGCGATTTGATTCGGGTCATCGTCGTCTGACTCATTAAAATCGTCTAACTCGGGCGTATTACGACACCAGGGCTTAATCTTGTCGGTGATGAAGAACAAAATTTTCGATTCGTAATCTTGATACCAGATCTTCTACCAAATATCGGTCGTTTCCAAAGTTTCGGGTAATGACGTATGGACCACGAAACTTAGGTTCTAATTTTCTCGAGTCGCCGGTTGCTGCAGGTTAATTTTCAATAACGACGAAACTACCTTCAGCATACTCTGTGGGTTTGCGAAGCTTCTCGTCGAAACGCTGTTTCCACTTCTCTCGCTCTTGAGTAATATTAAGAAGCGGTTGCGATTGTTGCGGATTAAGCGAAGCATCGGTTGTTTCGTGAATAGCGGCAATCAGTCGATTTTGTACAATGTCGCGACGACGGAAATCGAAGATCAGTTCATTTGGCGAGTAACCAGATGTATCGTTTCGTTGTGAGTTGATAGACCACTGGACGTTACGCAGTATACCATCCCACTCTTTCGGTTTCTCGTTTGTTGTTATTTTGGCAGGCAACCCACAATAACTTGTCATCTCTTTTAAGGCGTTTATTACTGGAGCAGTTTTCGTATTTCGTACCGGCTTGACAACCAAATACTTTGAGAATGCATCGGATATTGATAAAATATAGCAATTACCTCGGCTGCTTTTTATGAAAGGTCCCAGATGATCTATGTGAAGAACTCGAAATGGTATGGGTTCAGGTTCGCTATAATGTAGTGTACCCTATGTCATACCGTGGCGTGATTTATTATAACAACAATTTGGGCATGCTGCTAAGTAATCTTTAACGTACTTGCGAATTTTGGAAACCAAAAATGTGATCTTATTCGTTAAATTGTTTTGTCGGCAGCAAAGTGTCCCATGTCGTCGTGACACGAGCGAACGATTCTCAAACGTACGGAGTTTGGTACCACAAAACGTAAACCTTCTTCGGTGCGACGATATAATCGATGATCTTTTAATTCGTAATCTTTCCGGATCTGGGTTTCTTGATCGGATATTTTCTCTTTCTTCAGAACACTTACCAGAGATGTTAACATTGGGTCTTTCAGCTGCATAGTTAACAGCCAGTCGTCGGACGTAGCAGTAACTTTCATGACCATTCCGGCCGTTTTGACGTCATTCGGAGGTTGATCTGGTGCGCGGCTCAAAGCGTCGACATGAGCCATACGGGTTCCTTGACGATAAACGGTGTCGAAGTCGTACTCTAAGAGTTTCATCCACCATCGGGAAATTCGGGATTTTAACTCTTTACTTGCTTTGACTTTTGCTATGGCGGAGCAATCCGTCACCACCTTAAACTTTTTCCCCAAAACATACATTCGAAGTCGTTCGAGGGACTCAACTACGGCGAGCACCTCGAGCTCATAAGCGTGGTATTTACTTTCTACCGGAGTGCAATGTCTACTAAAATAAAATACAGATTTCCATGCTTTGTTGTCGTTGGACTGAAGTAACACACCGGCCAGGCCGACACTACATGCGTCGGTGTGTACCTCATGCTCGGCCATCCTATCGTACAACGCGAGAACGCGTTCGATCAAATATTCAAATGCACATTGTTGATCTTGACCCCATTTGAAAGATTCATTTGTTTTTGCGAGGAGTTTCGTAATGGGTTTTGAAATCAGCGCGTATTTGGGCACAAATTTTCGAAAAAACCCGGTTAACCCTAAAAAACGTATAGTTTCGGTAATATTATTCGGTACATTAAAGTTTTTAATCGCAGTTTGTTTTCACCCGGCTTAATACCGTTTTTATTTATAACGAGGCCTAGATAATTTATTTCTCTTCCGAAATAAAATTGCATTTGCTTGGAATTATAACATCGTCCAAGTATACTAGTATTTCACCATGATTCATTCTCGCGTCTATTTTATTCATTACTTCTTGAAACACGGAAGGTGCATTTACAAGACCGAATGGCATCCGGTTGTACTCGTAATGGCCCTCCGTTGTTACAAAGGCAGTGAATTTCTTCGATGGTTCTTCCACTTCTATTTGGTGGTGTCCCATCCTTAAGTCTAAAGTTGTAAAATATTTGTTACCGGATAATTGTGCAAAATGTTCGTCGATTATTGGCATGGGGTAAAAGGGCGTTTTCTCCGTAATTTTATTTAGACACCTATAGTCTACGCATAATCTAGATTCACCATTTGATTTTTCCACCAATACCACCGGAGATGCGTAAGGTGAATCAGAGTCTCGAATAATTTCATTTCAGTTCAGACACGATATCAGACACTATTTTACGTATAGCAAATGGCACTCTATATGGTTTCATACATATCGGTTTATCGTCGGTTAGTTTAGTATTTATTTTCGATACTGTGCATTTACCTAATTCCGATATAGTTTCATCAAAGACATCTCGGTTTGCTTGTATTATAGATTTTAATTTGGATCGTTCATCCAATGAGATATTCGATATTGTTTCTAATTTTTCAACCGTACACTTATCATTTTCGATCACCAGTCGTTTGCCATTTTGACAGAATGCGTCTCTGCCAAGCAACACATCTTCCTCGATGTGGTCGTTATGAACCACCAATAATTCTGTTTGATGCCGATCGTTATCAATTTCGAGTGAAACTAAAATTTTCGCGGTGCATTCGTATGTGCCACCTGCAAATCCTTACAACACCCGCGCACAATTAACAGTTTTACCAATTTTCATTGCTACTGAACGACGGATTAGTGAACACACACTACCAGAGTCTATTATGGCTTTTGTTTCGTGTCCGTTGACTTTAATTTCTTTAATTAAATTAGCTTTATTGATTTCATCGTCCTTAATTTTATTCACTTTAGTATTTGAAATCGTTTTATCCTTTGGTTGTTTACAATTTGCTGCTTTATGGCCTGTACGGTTACACGTTTCACATCTTTCCGCTCGCTGCGGCTGTGGGCAATTTATTGAAATATGTCCCGCTTTTAAACAATTATAGCATTTTATCGATTTAGGTATTTCTCGTTCACCTACTTTAGCGTTTGATGATATTCCGCGTTCATCAACATTTTCCGATTGACTTTTATACGCAGCCATATTTTCGACGATTTTCGGTTTATAGTTAAGCGGTTCTTATTTTACTTCATTGTACACCGAATAATTTTGAATATCGCGTAGCAACTTATTACAGGTTTCGTATTCATTCGAGATCTTTTTACGCAGATCTGAATCGTTAATGCCATTTACAATGTAACGCGCGATACCGGACTCAGAAATTCCACCTTTTGTTACAATCGAAACGATTTTAAAATAATATTCTTGTGGGGTTTCGTTACGCTGCCGGCGAGTTCGGTTCATTTTAATATGTATATCAGCGACGTTCTCAGTCGTTGAGAAATCAGCACAGAGTTTCGCGACGAATTCTGACCACGATTTATATATGCACTGGCCGACGATCCAGTATTTAGCATAACCTTTTAGTTTTTGTTGCACGGCAAATAAAAGTACTTGATCACCCCATTGGTACGCGGCATGTAACATTTCAATTCTCTTTATAAACTGATTCGCATTAGGGATGTCTCGGAAGACGGGTCAAATTCGGGTAAAAGAGTAACCACTTCATTCACTTTACTAAACGGATTTTGTAAATAGGAATTTGCAAACGGATAGGTCGGATAATATGAAGCGTACATACTATTCGGTTGCACATCGTTTCGCATATTTTGTTCGTTATAAAATCGTGTATTCATAAAACTATTTCCACCATTCGCTTGCGCTTGTGCCTCTGCAAAATTTACGTGCAGAGTTTTATTTACATTTTGAACATTTTCACTATTCAAATAAGAACTCTACGGGTTTCCATTACTAGTCACTGGCACATACGGTGCTTGTGTAGTAGTGCACATACGCGGTGTATGTATGTATGATAATGCTACGTTAGCTGGCGGCGCATGCGTAGAAGACGTCGACATCCATGTATTTCCACTCGTTGCAATATGTTCGTCTCGCGGCGACGACACGACGGACGAAAAGCTGGCTCTCTTTGAGATTGAGCGCTTTGTATTTGCACTTCACGCTCATTTTGCTTTTTTTGCATTTGCCACTCGGCAATTGTTTTTTTAGCATGTTGATTCTTTCTAACAACATCGATTCGTTTGCACCTAGAAATTGTTCGTTCATATTGGCGTTTGCGTTTTTATTTGCTTCTAGTCGTTCGATTAAAGTGTTTTTGTTACCTTGCGTAGCAATGCCATTTTCGCGACATACGCTGCGCAGCTCGGCAACTTTCATGCTACGAAAATTCATGTTTGTTGTTTAACTGGAACACGAAGTTACAATTCGGACAATTTCAAACACAACGTTCGCTTCGAGCGTAGATATGTTTGTATCGCCGAATGTTTTGATTTCGTTGATATCCACGCAATTCCACGAATCCGCAAATTTCAAATAAACGTTCGTTTCGTTTTCGTGTTGTGGCACTTTCGATGCGTTGCTCACACGAATGTTCTCGCATACACAAACTTACATGTATGTACATATATTTTGTCTACTTTTGCGAGTCGCAATTTCATAAATTAGCGAACTATTTATATATACACATAACGAGCGTCAGAATTTCGTAATTCGCACTTCAATTGGTGCACACACACAGTCATTTATTTAATTTCTATAGCCACTGTTTTCATTTATTTACGGCGAGGTTTATTTACGCGCACTTCTGATAATGCCAGGGACCGTCAGGATTACCGATCTCTTCTCCTTTTAAATAAAATACGAACTGTCTGTTTACTCTAGTACTTTAGAACGTATATAATATTATTTATTAAAATGACTTTATAATTAATCGGAATATATTCAATGACAATCACGACTCGCAGACGATGTTGACTCGACGGGATCACACGAACGTAGTGATGGGCGAGTCCGAGATGTTTTAGTCGATTGTCTCGATTGTTCAAATATCTCGATTGTTCTCGATTTTTTCTCTCGTAGACGATTTGCCACCCGAAAAAAGTCGTGCTTAAGCTGAAATAACATATTCGTTAACAATCTACCAAGGCCTCTCGGCTCGGCCAGCGGTTGTTAAAACATCTCGATGGTTCTCTGTCGCAGACTGTGGCAACGAATTGCCAGTCGCGTTTGATAAAAATCGGTCAAAACATCTCGGACTAGCCTTTGGAAGTTTTGGCAACCTCTCATACGAGGTTTTGCATTTTATTGATACGCGGTTTGTGCTTTAAACGACGTTATGTAAGTTTTAGGACTTCTTTGCTGAAGTTGTTCCGGTTTTCTTCCATATTAATGAAACTTATGTTTATTCGTTATACGACAGCAAATGCGACAAGGCAAATTCTAAAAAAATCAACAGTAATTTTTAGCCATTAGAAACTTTATTATACTAGAATTGAACAAGCTGAAATTACCCACAAAAAACGGCCCATTCCCCGATTCCCCACGCAAACTGAAATTCCCCGCAAATCGGGGAATTCACCACGAGCTGTTTCACACGATCTCGTCAGTGATAAGTCAGTCGACGCGAAACAATCGAAAAACATCTCGGTTGTATAGTCGGGCAGCGAGTCGATTATTGACTCCATTGTAATTTTGCAACGATGGCGATTCTCTCGATCGTTTAAACATCTCGGACTCGCCCATCACTACACGAACGACTCTCTATTTTCTCGCTTGTCTCTTGCGTTCCCTCATACTCAGGCAGGGCTGCCATGTCGGCTGACAGATGTTTTTAAATACCGAAATTGAGAGAACGTTGCCTGGTGGCGTCATGCGGCAAATACTTATTTCAAGACATCAAAGTGCCCACACACAAAAACTTGCAATCATATTGCTCGTCAAAATGACAGTGGGTAGGCCATCGGTGTTTGCCTGTGGAGTTCTGCGGTTACGCCGTCGCTTGTATACGTACACGCGATGCTAAGTCTCTGCCCATGCCTGGAAAAAATTTATGGAATAAAAATTGCATCAACTAAGAATTTCGAGTAAATGATTTTGTGTACACATGCAGATATGTATATATTAAAGAACTGCAAAATTCAACATTTTCTGTAAAAATGTCCTTTTAAAAGTTTCTTGCATTGCTATGTCATGTCAACTCAAACAAGGTGTTGTGCCATGTCATTCCATCTCAAACATACTAGGGGTATTCTCCAAATCTTGCAAAGCCATTGCGCGTAGCACGGATTGCATGGATTGCATAACTTGCAAACACACAACAACAAAATACATTTTTTTTTTTTTTTTTTTGAACTCATATATTTTATTGCGATCTGTTTGTTCTTTTAACATTAACTGAAACTTAAATACTAAATAAGAAAATAATCATGTATGGAGTACACCCAGTGGCGCAACCATATTCTATTCGCAGGTATTCAATGTTATTAGAGATCTAATATTGATTTCCTTTTAAGTCGCTGGAATGACACTGTATGAGAAGTGAGTGTAGAAATAAGAGGATTTGGGTGATCATGAACTTTTTGTTGGTACGCCAGGGCGTGCTTTTTAATTTCGGAAGCAACAGTAGGGATTTTCAGGTCACGGTGTATTTGGTTGTTTGTGACATAGAGCGGAGCGTTCACAATCATTCTAAGGGTTTTTGATTGGAATCTTTGGAGTATTTCTATATTGGAGGTTGCTGCAGAGCCCCATAATTGTATTCCGTATGTCCATACTGGTTTTAAAACAGATGAATAGAGTAAGAGCTTACTCTCGAGTGAGACTTGAGACTTCGGGTTCAGTAACCAATGTAAATTTCTGAGCTTCATTCCCAGTGCTTTGCGTTTGGTGAAAATATGAGTTTTCCACGTAAGCTTGCTGTCGAGGTGCATGCCTAAGTATTTTGTCGCATCACGCTGTGGAATATCCTCGTTATTGAGTTTTACGGGTGGGCAGGTTTTTCGTTTAAGGGAGAACGTAACCTGGACAGACTTTGTCCCATTTGGCTTAATTCGCCAATCTTTCAGCCATTGTGTTATTTTGTTTAGGCCATTTTGGAGTTTAAGCGAAGCGAGTTGTGGAAGTGTGTCCATTGCGAGAATTGCAGTGCCGTCTGCAAATATGCCAACAATTGCTCCTTCGGATGATGGTAAATCAAATGTGTATAGCAGGTAAAGGATGGGACCCATCACACTGCCTTGAGGTACACCAGCTGAACTTTCGTAGAGTTCAGACTGCTCCTCGCCTTGCTTAACGAAGAAAAATCGATCTTTGAGATAGGACTCGATAAAGATAAAATAGTTTATAGGGAGGGTACTCTTTATTTTGTAAAGTAAGCCGTCATGCCATACTCGATCGAAGGCTTGAGATATATCTAGGAATGCAGCTGTACAATACTTTTTGTGTTCGAATGCAGTGTGAATGCAGTTTACAAGCCTGTGAACTTGTTCGATTGTGCTGTGTTTTTTCCTGAAACCGAATTGGTGATTAGGGATAATTTTTCTTTGTTCTATTACTGGCATCAATCTTTTGAGAAAAAGAGTCTCCAGAGTTTTAGAGGCGATGGGTAGTAAACTGATTGGGCGATATGACTCAACTTTGTCTGCACTTTTTCCTGGTTTAGGAATCATTTTTACCTGGGAAACTTTCCATTGAGGTGGAACGAAACCAGATGAGAGAATTGCGTTATAAATATAAGTCAGGAAAGTGATTCCTTCTTCCGAGAGCTTTTTTAATATTTCTCCAGTGATCAGATCGTAGCCGGGAGCCTTCTTAGCTTTGAGTTTTTTAATCGCTTCCTTAACTTCAGCTTTTGAGAATTTTTTTATGGGTGGGTCCATTTGGTAAGGTTGTTCGAGAGTCTGTCTTACTTTTTGTGCAGTATTGGGAGAGGGTACAATTTCATGCGGAGCAAACACATTTTTTAGGTGACGTGCACATGTGCTTGCTTTGTCGAGATCACTTTTAGCCCATTGGTTGTTTTCCATTCTGATAGCGGGTTGTGCCAGAGTTGGCCTCTTTAATTTTGTTGCTGCTTTCCAGAGGGAATAATCGCTGGCAGCTGTTGCATCTAAGTTACTGAGATATTGATGAAGTTGGGAATTGCGTTCTTTTTGCAAGAGTTCTTTGAGCTCCCTCGTTAGCGTATTAATTCTTCTTTTGTCTTCGGGATGTCTAGTCTGCTGCCACTTCTTTCTAGCCTGGCGTTTCTTGGTCAGTTATTCTTTTACAAGAGAAGGGATTCTTGTGCACTGTGATTTGCTTAGAATGGGTGTTGATCTCCAAGCAGCTTGTTGGATGCAGTTATTGAAGTGTTCAACAGCTGCAATGATATCTTCGCTAGATTTCAGCGAGTGTTTCAAATTTAGTTTTGAAGATATTAAGCTTTGGAAGAGATTCCAGTCAGTTCTGTTGTTGTGAAGGTAACACTGAGAAGTTGAGTCAACAAGATTATTGCTTGGAGTGACCATTACGGGAGAATGGTCTGAGGATAAATCGAAACAGGGATTACATATTATTTCATTATCTCTAATACCTTTAAACACGCAAAAGTCTATTAAGTCTGGAATTTTTTTTGTATCGGTTGGCCAATACGTTGGAGAGCCTGAGGAGGCTGAGTGAAGATTTAATCTTGCCATAGCCGCAAAGAGTTGTCGGCCCTTAGGAGTGATGAGGCGAGATCCCCTTTGTGGGTGTTTTGCGTTGTAGTCTCCTCCAGCTAAAAACCTGCTTCCTAGAGTTTTGAAGAATTTGACATAATCTTCTGACTTGATCGCATGCTTGGGTGGGCTATATACTGCTGAGATTGTTATTTGGCCTTTCAAGTCCTCGACAACTATATTAGTAGCTTGGATAGCTTCCGTGCAGTATGAGTTAATATTAAAGTGTTTAATATTGTTTTTTATTAATATAGCTGAGCCAGCATGTGCTTTTTTATCGGGATGCATTGTATGATAGAGTTTGTAATTCGGCATTTGAAAATAGCTTTTTTCGGTGAAATGGGTTTCGGATATTAGGAGAATATCTATATTATTTGACTTGAGTAGCGTTTTAACCTCGAGTACGTGTTTTGATAGGCCATTAGCATTCCACAGGAGAATATTCATGGAATTGTAGGGATACTGGACTTCGTCGTAAGGGTGACGAGGAGATTCATCATAGTTGTGATTTGTTGCTTGACTTGCTTGAGAAGCATTATCATTTCTCGCATTTCGCTTGAGGCATCAGAGGCGTTTTCTTTTGATTGAGGGAGTGAGTTACTTGGACTCGGATCTTGTTTGCTTTTCAACATTTGGGAGTAAGAAAGTAAATTTCGGGGCGGTTGCGAGACTCGAATGGGTGAAAGTGGAGCTGATTGCTGCTGGCTGACACTTTTGGGATTGTTGTCCTCCATTCTTCTTAATGGTGGGTATTTGAGTTTCCGCAGATTTTTGTACACCATGTATCCTTTATAGTTTGCTGGATGATTTCCTTCGCATAGAGCACATTTAACATCGTTGGATTTTGTCTTGCGCGAGCAATCTGCAGACAAGTGGGGGCCAGCGCATTTAATACATACCGGTCTTCTACGGCAGTATGATTTTGTGTGTCCATACTGTTGGCAGTTAGCGCATTGCGGGATTTCGCGTTTTGGGCGTCAAATACAATTTTTGTGTTAAAGAGATATTTGATTTCGTATATTTCCTTATTATTAGGGTTTGCTTTTAGCTCTACAATGAACATTGGTAGCGGGTTTTTCGTGTTTCTGTGTTTCATATTGTAAATGTTAATAGGGATATGACCGAGATTTTGTAGGGCTTCAGCGATTTCTTCGGTGCCAATAGACGAGTGCATATTTCTGAGTATAACTTTGAAGTTTCTTTCTTGTTTTGGCTTGTATGTATAAAACTCAGTGTATTTTTGCTCTAGTTGCTGAACAATTGTTTTGTAGGCCTCGGGAGTTTTTGCTTGTATTTTAACTTGCTCATTGCTTATGAGCTTTAACTCGTACAGACTTGGAGCGGTTTCAGATAAAAGCTTCATTAGGGGGGTAATGTTGCTTACTTTATCTACGAAGATTGGTGGAGGCTTGGGATTATTTTCTTTGGGCTTTGGTTCTTCGTCGTCTTCTATTACAAGTGATGAAAACCTATTTTCTTTAGCCTGAGGTTCGCCTAGCCAGTACTTATCAAGTTTTGCTTGTTTTTTGGTATTTGTGGGCTTTCTCGGGGCCTTTTTTTGGGTTCTACGGTGGTCCATTCCTTACCTGGGGTAGATTTATCATTTGAGGCTTGCTGTTGGTAGAGTAATTGTAGCTGTTTCTGAAGTAGCTCAATTTGATCCTGTATATTTGGATTTTTACTATTGGCCCAGGTGGGGCATTGTGAGCTCCACGAATTTGGTGTCTGTCTTGGGTTCGACAGTTGTTGTTGCTGTTTCTGTTCTTGCTTTTCCGGTTGTTGCTGTTGTTTTTTTGTTGTGTCTGTAAATGTAAATTTGACTTTTGCGGTGTTTCGAGCTGCAGAGGAAGTTGGGATTCTTGCTGCTGTTGCTGTTGTGATCTTTGTTGTCTATGCTGTTGTTGTTGCTGAGACGATTCCTCCCCTCCCCCTTTGGGAGGGGTACGGTTTAAGGGCATTTTAGGGCTGGGGTGTTTTTGGGGTATTTTTTACTTTTAGTTTTATTTTTTTTTATATAAGTATACTATACTATGGCAACCCTGAAGTTGTGGCAATGTTTAGAAGTGTCCAAAACATAGCATACTTTCAGGGTGCCTGTACATCCACTACTGTTTTGTTGCTAACACTTTTGTTTGTTTGTTTTCTACTCGGCGGAGTCTCACTTGAGGCTTTGTCACTCGCGCAGGTACAAATTTTAAATTTTATTTGTTA